ATGGGAATTATATGGTAGTCCACACTTGGTTGTCCCATATACTTCCCATACCTATGGGAATTATATGGTAGTCCACACTTGGTTGTCCCATATACTTCCCGTACCTATGGGAATTATATGGTAGTCCACACTTGGTTGTCCCATATAATTCCCATATATGGGAATTATATGGTAGTCCATACTTGGTTGTGCCATATACCTCCCATATATATGGGAATTATATGGTAGTCTGAACTTGGTGTGGTTCTGGCCTCCCATAGAGAATCCATACATATGATTTCTATGGCAATGCTATGGCAACGCTTACGGAAATTTCCTATAGGAATTCCTATAAGAAATGAAATTCCTATAGGATTTGAAAATTCCTATAAGAATTCATATAAGATTTGAAAATGGTGAAACAATTCCTTTAGGAAAACGAAATTCCTATATATATACATATAGGAAATAAAAATTCCTATAGAATTGGAAAATAAATTTATTCTAACATTAATTAAATGAATAATTACCGCAATGCGCGCGACCAACAGACTGGTGTCTAGTTTTTTGCCACACGCACAAAGCATCTTGGGATAGGTCATCACACCTCCGATATTTTATAAATTTTTTGTTTGTGAATGCTTTATATGTTCAAAATAGAACTATTTATGATGAGATTCAACTGGATTTTCACTAGTAATACATCAGTGATGTTTGTATAATGTTCAGGTGAGCATATGTATATATTTTGTTTATAATAAAGCAAATTATAAAGGAATAGTCCAATCTTCATTCGTGAAATTCGAGCATGTGTTTCGATCGGTTTAAAATTTGAATTTGCGCGACAATAATGCTGATATAAATATATTTATCTGTCATTTATACTTCAATAAATGCTACTATAAGAGTTTTATATTTGAATTAGACTTATCAATGTTTATTGGTTAATACATTTGTATATGCTAACTGTATTATGCAAGATTAATTGCAGACATTAAGCATGCCTATACATATAGACTATATAGTATTATATGCTCATATTACATATAGTTTGAAAATTTATCTACTTGCTCAAATCAGCAGCAACCTTCCTAAGATTCTGATATTTATTCATATGTTATTGTTCAAATTAAAATTTATATTTCATTGGGAGAGGTGTAATTGCACCAGTCAATATGAATTAAAATATGTTAGCCTTAGTGTAATGCCAGGAAAATTCTCCATATTTTTTTATGAAATTAACATTTAACTATGTGATGGTATATTCAAGTTAACGAGACTCTCTACTTACATTTCACGCTAACTCGTTAGGATGAATATGCTCAACTTTCAGTACTTTTTTATTTTACCTTGTCTAACACCAGATCAAATATTTTACTTGTGAAAGATAGTGGACAACTTTGATAGCGTTATTTTGCTGTCCCCTTGTGTTATGTGTAAACTCATTAAGACCCAATTCACACTAATCTGCTCTATTTCAAAGCTCAATATTTTGGCCTGTCTAACACCAGACTATTTTGCATTGTTTGTTGTTAACACATTTAGATGCAATTTATCCTAACACTCCCCACTTTCAGTACTTTGATAGTTAATTATCAGATGATTTTACTCATCAAGATGAGTGTTGGTTATTGAAAGGTTAATATAATTAACTGCAAAAGCCGCTGTGTTTGCATATTTAGAAGCAATGTGCCCTACCATTAGTACTTTGTTATTTTATTAAATATTTATTCCATTAATGTGCCAGACTCTCCACTTAACAAATAAAATTGTCTGTCATTAGACATATAGTAAAACATAATGATTTGGCATTTGACAGAGTAAAGTTGTCTTCCGTTAGACAGAGTAAAATAATAAATTTGGTGCAAAAGTGCTTGATGGAAATTTGGCTGCAGAATATAGGGTATAAATTTTCTGTCAGTATAATCATTTTTGTCAAATCTGGCAAAATCTTGACTTTTGAATTATTTCGTCCTGCAGATGATAGAAGTTGTAGAAGGATCTGGCATGTTCTGGAATTGCCACCAGTGGGCATATTGCTCTGCAAGATTTTCTAATGAAGGCCCTACACCAAGTCAGGTGATACAAAAAATAAACATGAAAAGTGTAGAAGCCAGGTGTCCACAAAGAGTTTGAATAGTCTGTAGTCAAGCCCACAAGTTGAGAGGACTGAGGACATTATAGATACCGATACATTTATATAGATCAATAAGCACTTAGCAATTGACATTATTACATGTTTGTATATATAGTTATACCGTAATAATTTAGTTAGACAAACTTTGCAAGTTCATTAAGAAATAGTAAATTAGTTAGCAATTTTGTAATTTGTTTATTTATTAACTATGTTATTTATTTGTGTATTGTGTTTTTGAAGATTTTTTGCATGTTAATAAAACTATGTATGCCACCAGTGCAATTTTCTTGAGCTGTAGCAAGTATATTTGGAATGGTATGGCCACTTGTTTTCATCCCATACCAAACCCACATGTGTTAGCATCTAGCATTTGGATGTTAGATGTTAACATGGGTTTGGTATGGGATGAAAACAAGTGCCCATACCATTCCCATAGTTTATACATCAAGAACCATATGAATTCCATATCATGTTCCCAGATCATTCCCATATAGAATCCTATCTTACCCATAGCAAAGTTGTTATGAATGATATAAGGAACCCATGTATTTCCCATAGTAAGTCATATGGGATATGTATGGATTTGTACCAAATACGTATCAAACCCATATCAAAAACATGATATGGGTATGCTATGAAGGCAACCAGGCCACACCAAAGCCATATACCTCCCATATATGGCCCATAGGTTGAACCATATCAATCCCATAGTTTATACATCAAGAACCATATGAATTCCATATCACGTTCCCAGATCATTCCCATATAGAATCCTATCTTACCCATAGCAAAGTTGTTATGAAATGATATAAGGAACCCATGTATTTCCCATAGTAAGTCATATGGGATATGTATGGATTTGTACCAAATACGTATCAAACCCATATCAAAAACATGATATGGGCATGCTATGAAGGCAACCAGACCATACCAAAGTCATATACCTCCCATATATGGCCCATAGGTTGAACCATATCAATCCCATAGTTGGTCCATATATGTCCCATATAATTTGGTTTTGTAAGGGTTAGTTTCTGGTCCGCCGCCCGCGTCCGTATTTCAGGACTATTTTGTTTTTGCGAAGGATTTAATTTATAGAACGATAAATATTCAATTTACACTAAAAAGATCTAGCAAAATGTAGTATTGAATGGCAAAAACCGCTGCCTTATCGAGATTACGAGTTAAAAAAACTAGAAATATTAATAGATCATTTTGATAGGTAAAATCCTTTGTAATCTGTCATACATGTCGATTTATAAATAATATAAATGCAATTTATGTAAAATTTCATAACATTTTGATACAATTAGCATGAAAAGGGACAAGAAAGACCACAAAAATGTGGGCAAAGCCACAATTGTAATTATGTCCTATAGTCCTAACCGCCCGCCCACCCGCGTCGTAAATGAAGGTAAGGACGGACCAGAAACTAAAGATTAACTTGTAGTGGCCTTATCAGCATTTTTAAAAGCCTACAAAGTGCAGGAAAACAATTGGGCATAGAGGGAGGTTTGCCTTGACGATTAGGTTTTGGTAGATAACAGTTTTATTAATAGCTATCAAATGTGGCCAGACATCCCTCTATTCCTGGGTTAAACTGCCACCCCAGAGTGTATGCTTTTTTTCTGACCCCCCCCCCCCAATTGAAATTTGATATAAATACAGTGGTTGCATGCACAGAGATATACCCCTACACAGTGGATATGCATTCATCATTATTTTATATTCTCTTCTCAAGACATGCATTGTCGTTAATATTGAGCCTTCCTCCTGAAGTTAGCTTTCTATACTTTTGAAAATGTTGATAACTATGGATGATGTGTGATTTACATAAAATATATGTGCAAATTATATTTAACTTTAAACATTGACTCTTTCTTTTAAAAAAATAAATGCGTGTTTGCTTTCCGAAGATTCAATCTTTTCAGGGTGTGGAATAAATCGCTCACATTCTTCTCTAAACTCGGGACTGATAAAATCATTTGGCACATTCAAAACACCTGATGCTGTTGCTGCTTCTTGAAGCTGTTCCTCAGTGATTGGCCAACCTAAAAATACAAAGTGCAAAGGTTTTAAAGGTTTGAATTTGGATACTGATTTAAATGCACACATGGTACAAAATGTGCAATTACCACTTATAAAAATGATCAATATACATATATATGTTCAGTATGGCATAACATCCAAATGTGCTGTTCGATAGGTGCAGTATATTAATTTTGTAAAATGCTTACCGCATTCCTGAAGACCATATTCTTGTGGAAATGCATGCATGTGGTTGGGAACTCCATCTGGAAGGTTTGTGTCCTGCTTTCTTATTCTGTGTGGATTCCAAACAGTATTTCGAAATTCGTCCAACTCTCTCTGAATAACTGGTATCATTATGAATGCCATCAATGATCTAAAACAGAACAATTAAAACTGAAGGAAAATATGGCAAACTGTTTCATAATTTGTACGGTACCCAAATACAGTTATGTCTGCTTGGTCTCTTATTAAAAACTCAGTGAACATTGCTGGTTGGTGCACAATACATTTAATCAGGATATACTGTACTATCAAGTTTGAGAATGAACATACATATGGCCTTGCAATGATAAGCCTTCTGTTGGGCCATAAATATTTGCAAAATGAATGTACATTGAAGGCATGACTTGATCAGCAAGCAAAACTAGTGTATATATACCTACCGATCGTTTTTATCATGTGGGTCATAATAAAGACGGTCCTTCAAAAAACTTAGTTGTTCTTTAAAGTACATCTCCATCCTTTCATGAATCTCTCGCCACCATCTTTCTATCTGCATGATTAGATAATAGATATTATATATAATATAATATATACTTCAATTCAAACTTTATATTCCAACTCTGGTTAACATTGTGGGAGCGGGGGTGGGGGGGGGGAGTGTTTCCATCTGTTCCTATGGTCACCGCCTAGTATCCCAGGTATTCTATATTTTGGCCAATTTCATATAAATTTATAATTTATTTTAAATTTATAAGAACTACTGTGGTTTTACCTGATTGGAAGTTGAAGGGCCATATAGTATGGTATCAGTCGGTTCCATATCACCGTGGTGTCTTCTTAAGAAAGCATGCATAGTGCATAGTACGGTGGTTTCAGTCCCTTTGTCAAGTCGTAAAAAAGTGGATATCAGTCGAGTTTCATACAAATGCTCAAGGTAAAACCGACCAATCACATCAGGGTCACTATTTGTTACCCAAACTCGAAGCCATAATATTTTTCGGCTGGCAGAATCAATCGAGCCATATATAGCGATAGGGTAGGTGCTGTTCTGGTACCCCATTAGCTTGTCGTGCCCATCAAGGGAGTGAAGCCAGTTAGAGCCTTTGGTTGTGAAATGTCCTGTTCTTTTTTTCTTCTTGGCTGCTGGGGCTCTAGCTTCAACACCCTCCGCATCGAGATCTTTCATCATCACATAAACCAAATCGCGAGGCACATTCGATCCGTGATTTATTCGAATCTTCTTCTGCATTGGTCTATACCCTATCAGCTTGCTTGGACCGTCTAATTCCGTCGAAACAGCTTCTCTCACTTCCTCCACAGTTACTTCTCTATCCGAATAAAAAATATCAAAATGTCTAAGGCGACGATCAAGAGATCGTACGCTCCATGGATACTGCCCAAAATTTTCCTTAACAAAGCTTAATATCTCTTCTCTTTTTAATCCCTCTCGAACATACTGAACTAGTTTCTCTTTTAATTCCTCATCGTCTTTCCAAGAAGCATCACAGAGAGCCGCCATCTTGTACAAGTGCTTCCATATATTGACGGTATTTCTTTTTGGTAATGACAATCCCATGGAAACACTGACGTGGAAACACTGACGCGCGCAAAGCATCATGGTGTACTGTGGCAGCGATAGGCTTTGGAGAATTTTAATTTTACTTTGATTTGTGTTTTTGTTTGCTTTTAACTTTATTTCTTATTCAATTTTCATTTACATTTGTAAATGAAAATGATAATTATTATTTTTTACTTTATTTTTTTATTGTAAATGTATTTTAATTTTAATTTAAAACACTTTTTATTAATACAGAAAAAAAAATATGAGTAAATTTGAGTGGCAGTGATGGGCCACCATAAAGGTGTTTGATTCTTATATAAACTACTAGAAAATACATGCATGTAGAAACCCTCGCCTTGCTGACAAAACCATTGTATTTTCCGAACATGAAGTATTTAAAGTAGTTGTCATGCTAACACGATAATTTTTTAATAATATTTTTGCAAATGAAAAATCCCGTAAAAATATCACTTTTAATTACAAAATTATCAATTTCCCAAACATGTATATGTTAGTTATGTTATTATACGAAATACAAGCTTCAATTTAAGGTAAAATTCAACCACAAACGCTTCGCAAAACGTTTTAAAGTGTTCTTAATAAAACTAAACTACCTTTATAGATAAAGTTTGAGTTTGAAATAAAATTCTTTCAAATTCTCGCATGCAAATATAAACTTTGCTTTCTTTTTCATTATACACGACGATCAGCTTTTAATAAAGCAATTAGCCTTTCTCACACCGCCATTTTTGGGATACTCTAATTTTTCGTTAACGATTATAACAATGTGAAAAGCAATATTTCAGAACAAACTAACTATTTACAGAGTAAATTTACCATCATACACCTATAAAATTATAAAATGTCGCTGTTACGTGGTGTTACACTCACAGGATTGGCAAAAAAGTACCCCAAAAATGGCGGCGTAAGAAAGGCTAATTCAAACTCATACCCAGGGCATTTTGCCTCCGGTAAGCGAAAATGGCCCTGGCATCAGCCGGTCACATGACCTCAATGTATCCAGTATTTGGAGTGTTCAATTATGATAATTTATGCGCATAAGTACGTAACAGAATAATTATATATATATATACATTTTAATTACAGATATACAGCCAAATTTAAAAGAAAACAGCCGTAAACAACCTAATTAGAACAAAATCTTTGTATTTATTAGAGGAGTATTGAAAATTTAACTTTCAAGCCATAAAATTGCTACAAATTGCATTGTTGTCGCACAAAAGTTAGGGTCAAAATCGCGGGGTGTTTACATTGCAGACTGCAAAATATCTTGTCGGAAGTTCCAAGTGTAATTTCAAGTGTAAACGGACCTTACGGATTTTTTTATCTTGGGCTTGGCAATGAGAGCACTTGCTACGTGTCACATCACATGTACTTTTCGTTTGTTACAAAATGTTGTTTACGATAAAAACGAATCTTTAGGAAAATAAACATTTTTTTGACAGACTCCGTGTTTTCCATAATGCCCCATAAAGTGGAAAACGCGGAGTCTGGTTAAAATTGAATCTTTAGGCAAATGGACAATTTTTTGACAGACTCTGCGTTTTCCACTTCATGCCCCCACAAGAAAAGTGGAAAACGCGGAGTCCGGTTAAAATCAAATCTTTAGGCAAAATGAACAATTTTTTGACAGACTCTGCTTCTTCGCAGAGTCTGTCAAAAACGCGAAATCTAGTTAAAACTCCGTTCTCCGTACTACATCATTTCCACCATGCCACTTAAGAACGAGTATAGCGAAATGTCAACATGCATGGCGTATCTAAGGGAGCGGTCATTATTTATGGGGGGGTGGCACCGAAGAGAAACTTTTTTGTGGCAAAAATTGTGCTGACCCAACCATTAAAAAGCCAAAAATTTGATTACCCAACCTCAAATATCGATTAAAAAATAAATACCCACTCCTGGCCAAAAACTTTACAAACGGTTACCATTCAATTGTCACACATGTCCTTTACTACTTCTGTGACATGAGCTTGATAACTGCCTGTGCAATTTCTGCAGTCTAAAGTTTCATGTTGTCTGCACATGTACTTTCTTTGGAGACACGATCTGTCTCTCAACATATCGGAAAATTATCAAGATAGTGACTCTGATTGATTCACATGTTATATTGACATCTGACTGTTGACAGGCCTTCCTGGTCTCCAATATTCCAGTGAGTCATGCTTTGGAAATAACGATAAATTTATATTAACCAACCCTTGAGTTGTTTTCTTTTTCATTTACACAACCTTTTACTCACTCAACATTTTGTTGACCCATCCCCCCACCATAAATAATGACCAGTCCCTAATGGTGATAAAGCGCAAGCGCAGCAATGAAACTTCAAGTACAGCTAGAAATGGAACTTTTCAAGATACAGCCCCGCAATTGTTCAATGCTCTTCCTTTTCTTTCTTAGAAATTGTGAACATTTCGGGCATTTCTCACAGCGGTGCAAAGACTTTTCAATGTGTAACGCTAGAGACAAATATTTCGCATAGTTAAAATTTTAATCCTTAGTTTTAAATTTTCATAGAGACTTTCTATTAATAGTATAGTATATTTTTATGTAAACTTTTGTAGATGTAGAGCCACGCTGTGGAAAAGCTGTAATAAACCATTATTATTATTATTATTATTATTATTATTATTATTATTATTATTATTATTATTATTATTATTATTATCGAAAGGCAATCGAAGAAAGGCTAATCGAAGGCAATATAAACACAGGCGTAAATGGACAGATCAAATGAACGAGGATCTTTTGAGTTGCAAACGCGAGGCTGTGGCAATGACACAAATGGAACAACCACCGTTGGATGGAAATAGCAAGAAAAAAGGCTATATTAAACTCACGAAGGAGCTATGGGATGCGAAAGGATATAATGATTTTGGCTTCTCAAGCCAGAATTTGCTGGATCAAGCTGCAAGGCTGGAGAAATCTTTGGTTTGAGAACAAAGGGATCCGGAGGCACGTCTGGTGTCGATGCTAACGGCTTTAGAAGAATGTTGGCATGTACGTCCTTTAAGCAATCATCTACAAGACTGTGCGAAGCTATAGCCAGAATGACCTTGTGCACACAATATATCGATCCTACCACTATTGAAGCATTGATTGCTAGTCGTTTAATTCCCCTAGACAAAGGCGAAGATGCGGAAGACCTATCGGAGAGGTAATAAGAAGGATAAGTGCAAAATGTGTTATGAGCTTTGCAAAGAAGGACGTTGTGGAAGCAAGTGGATCGTTACAATTATGCGCTGGGCAAAAGTCTGGAAGTTAGGCTGCAATACATGCAATGAACACCCTGTTTGAAGCTGATGACATTGATGCTGTTTTACTTATCGATGCTTCTAATGCATTCAATGCACTCAACAGAACTGCGGCTCTGCATAACATCCGTGTGTTATGTCCGATAATCGCTGCCTACGCTATAAACACCTACAGACAGCCAGCTCGGCTTTTTATTGTTGACGGCAAAGAGATTGCGTCAGCAGAAGGAACCACACAAGGAGATCCTTTGGCAATGGCCTTTTATGCGATAAGTACCCTGCCTTTGATCACGAGT